GGATCTACCAAATTCACAACATTCCAGTTCTGACTTAACAAGTGGACAAAGATGCCACAGACTAACCACACAACACATTATAAACTTGTGAGAAAGCAAGAACAAGACAGAGTGAGAGAGAGAAAGAGACAGAGATAGACAAAGAGAAAGAGAAAAAGGAAACAGATAAAATATCTTACTGATAACCACTATGGTGTATGGAAGGAGTATCATGGTACAGGGTGCCTATCTTTGTGTCTCATAGTAAATCCATCTGATGGATGATTCATGAAATTAAGGCTTTCAGTTCTCTTTTACAAATGTTATATACACATACTTGATACTGTTTCACTTTTATTATGAAAAAATTATTGGAACAGGTTCTGAATGATTCTTCCTGCTTAAATAATCAGAATAAATGCACAACTACACATCAGCACATCATTCAATGTAACTGTCATGCACAACTTTAAATGAACACATCTACAAATGTGAAAATAAGAGCAATAAAAACCTGTTCTTAAGCACAGTTCTACTTAACAGTTCCATCCATAAAAGATACGTCTTGAGTTTTCAAGTTTTAATGCTTCATTTAAAAAATAACAACATTTGACACATTAAGAAATTAAAAGTGGATGGTCGGCACCATTAGAAATACTTAAATTGACATGTTTATGTTACAAAATACTCCTTTTTCCATTTAAATTTCTGATCAATATTTAAGTCAAGAACACTGCTCAGAAATTTAGTTTCTTTAATACTGTAAAACGCCCATTTTTATTTCCCTCTAATAAATAACTTGGGCCGTCAAAAATACATTTCCTCATTTAAAGCAACATTCTATTTCCTCTGTTTGCAAATTTCCCCCTTTATTTGCAAAGTCATAGCCTCACACTTTTTGCCCCCAATTATAAAAGCAATTCAAAATGCTGCACAACTCAGAGTGACATAATGGCATCTACAGATTCAGCTCCTTCAATCAGTCTGAAGTGTCCATTCTGGCAACGTTCAATTTGATACCATAAATTACCAAATGTGCTTTGGTCAGTTAGTAGGGAAATTATGCCACTCTTCTCTTCAATCTACCAATCATCAAATGGTTTTTGATTGACAGTCCTTTCTTTTGCATCTGAAGGTACAGCAGTAGTGATACAACCATGACTCAAGAACAGTCACCATTAATTTGTAATCACTATAACAATTTTTTTTAAAATGCCAGACAGCTTAGTAACTATATGATTCTACCATTTTATGATTTTTACATACAACATGATAAACAGCTGTTTAGCCTTTGAATTTTCACAAACAGAAAGTAATACACAAGAATGATAGTGCACTTAAGACAATCTTGTATGATTATATAAGGTGACCTTATACAATGTTTCAGATCCTGTAGAAGGGAGAAAAGTGCAGAGAATATATATAATAAAGAATATTAGGATCCCTCTTGTGAGTTATAGACAGCTCTATGATTTGGCATTTGTTTCTAGAAGAAAGGCACAGTATGCTGACATGTAAATCAGTTTGGAGCCCATTTCTCACTCTCTCTCTCTCTCTCTCAACTCTGTACCTAAACTTACACTAAATCAACAAATGTACCTGTCCTGTCAACTGTAAGAACTTCACTACAATTTTACTATATTACTTGTTACTCCTTTTTAAACAAGATGTTTCTGTTAGAATACTATCATAAATTTATACTGAAGCTGCATTATGCCATTGCAAAACTAAATCAAAAGATGTACCTGTCCTGTCAGCTGCAAGAACTTCATTGCAATTTTACTAAAGTACTAATTCTTTTTAAACAAAATGTTTCAGTGGAATACTGTCATTAATTTATATTGAAGCCGTATTATGAGATTACAAAAACAAATCCTGTACACCACCATACAGTAAACTCAAAATACATGAAAATGTAACCAGTATTCCATCTCTACTGAAACAGCTTCCCTCTGATGGAATATGAATTATACATAAAGTTAAGACTTCAAGAATTTGTAAATGCTTTACTGTAGCTTACTAAATTTCAATGAAGTTTTTCAGTACTAACTACGAAATATGCAATTATGAGCCCAGACATGAGAAAGAAACCCTGCAAGGACAAAGACTGTTCAACACATCCATAGATTTCAACAGACTGATACTGGGAGCCCAAAATCTCAAAGATGACATTTATATATAGTTAATAAAGAGTCAGATGACTCTACAACTATGGGAAAGTGCAGCAATAAAAAATGTTGTATAGAAACAGTGGCATTATCACTTTTAAAAATAATTCCATAACATATAGTGAAACACTACAAGGCTATAAAAAGATACATTAAACAGAAACATATTCAAGCTAAGCAACAGTCTAGGATCCAAAGTCTAATACTATTGTTCATTATCACTATAATTTTAGGTTTGGAATATTTAAGAATGGGATTCCTGGAAGAACCTTTCAGAAAGAAATTATATGTGATTGCTTTTCATGTCAATCATGCAAATTCTCTCAAATTCTGAAGTTTGATTTACACACATATTTCCAATACTAGTACAAATCAATAGTCCTTAACTCTTTGACTGGCGCGAAGGGTATTTAAATCCCACCCCTGTCCTGGCAGGCCCTTTAAACCTTATGTCGCTAAAATGCATGTTGTTACTTTTTCCTAAACAACTTCAACAAAAATTGGTTTTTAAAAACGAAATTTTTAGGAACTAATTAAAATACAATATTTTATGCAATAAATGCTTTTCCACACCTCTTTATTTGTTTTTCTTCGTGTGATAAACATTGAAACATGAAAGTTTGCAGAGAGCCACACCACAGCCTGCACACATGATACTTGTTTCTTTTCTAACCTTGTGATTAGCACTCACGCGACACTTTCTCAGGGCACCATTCTTCTTATTGTTACTGTTAGGAACATGGACCATTTTGTGAATTTTCAAGCCACCCTCTAGACGATTTGCTGGCTCTTTCACTGGTGGTCTTTTCAAGGTCGAGGGCGGAGGCGTGACTGCACTCTAGTCTGACCCAATAGATTCGTCATCCACTTCATTCCTTGACTTTTCTCCCTCTCCACACTGTTTGTTTGGTTCAGTCATTTTTCTACACAGTCCAATATAAAATCTTTGAATCTGTAATTTCTCTTCTTGTATTTTTCGTTTGTTGTGTTCTTTTTGAATAGAATGAAACTATTCAACCGCAAAGACATGTTTTGTCCATACCATGGGTGTGAAATAGGGGCCTAGTGGACAAATATTCTTCAATTTCAGGGCGTTTGTCGATTCCTGTCATGAACACAATTCCTAAGTATGTCCAGATTTCATCTGATGTGACATAATTGTAATTGTGTTTTCGAGAGTGAGGAGCTAACTCATGTGTGTTGAAGTGCTGGTGAGCATAGCGATTGGTTTCAGTTGTGATGTGATTTACCAAGTCGTCATCCAGAAAAAATTTTAATCCATGAAAAGGGATGCATTTTATGTGTTATATCAATTTTGATCCCGAAACTATTAGCAAATGGAAGTATTGGGGGTACAATGTCTCCGTACGTTCATGAGATGGGCGTGTCAGGCACCGCACTCGTGGTAGGTAAATGTTCATGATTACTGTCTTGTGGATCATTGCCTATCACTGTATTATTGTCACAATCAACTTCATCCAATTCAGGAATCATTATTTCATCGCCACTATTATCATCAGAAAAAATCTCGTTCACAACATTTTCCAGCTGGTCTGTAGGAAAACGAAGACACTTGCTGCAAGAAGCTATGGTGAAACTGAATGAATGTGAAATATTTTCTGACCTTTACCTTCTCAGAGGGTTCTGACAGTAATATAGACCGCCACAAAGTTTACAAGGGTTCTTTACAAACATGCACAAAAACTATCATAAATATGTCTTTGGTTGATGAGTGCCAAGAGAGCAAAGAAGGGACGAGATTGTCAAAGCGTTAAAACACGCCAATGCCAGGGAACGGCTGGCATCGTCCGGGCGTTAAAACATGCCCGCGCCAGTCAAAGAGTTAAGATTTTCCAGTATTACCAATATTCAAATCATGTTTCTTCCAGCCAGTAAAACTGTAATCCCATTCTTAAAACTAACACACACCTGACAAAGTATATTCACAGTGAGAAGTGTCACTACTTCAAACGGTTTAGTTTCCACTTGATTTCAAACTCAGTGCTTTAAAATAAAATTTGCTCAGTGGTAGTCAGACAGATATATGAGAAATGGCACAGCTGCAAGAAGGTAGAATCAGAAGGCACCATAGTAGGATCTCAATTACCTAATGTAAAATTTGGCATACCTGATTAAATATCCAGACATGACATTTTCAGAGAAAAAAAAATGTATCAAATCAACATTTCTCAGTTATACAAACTACTACATAATTTTCATGACTGGGGACCCAAAACTGTTCTGTCATGAAACCTATTTATGGCAAAGAATTTTTAAAAATGTATCACAAATAAAGTTAACTTCATTTTCAAATAATACAAAACAGCTCAAGACAAATAATTAAGGAAAACATAAAGCCAATACTGTTTTGTTTTGACTACACAGAACAGGCATTAGGTTGGACTCTACCTCAATGTTTGGAAGAGCAACTCAAATGATTCAATTAAGACATAGTTCCTGCAGTCCTTCACTGTGAATGTACACTTCTATATAAGACAGGTAGCAGATGTAGTTTATTTAGATATGAATATAGTAGCAATATAATATATTATAGTACTGTGAGTATCAGATAACATGAAGTCTGTTAGGACCCACACTATGCAGCAAGTTGGATTATTCTGAAATGTTAAAAACTTTATGACTCATTGATCCCATTAACACAAGAGGCACAATTCCCTATATGATACTCATGTATGGTATAACTGTTGTTTCATACAGTATGCTAAATATTATACAAACTGTGCTGGACTTCTTCCTTTGTATATGTATATATGTTCACTTCTGGCAAATGAAATCTGAAGTTACGGTACTGTTTATAGCAGCAAGGTACTTGTGTTATAGTTTTTTATCCAATTTTGTGAAAACATTTCAATCAATATTAAGAATGTTCCCTGTGATGCAACTCAAATGCATTTTATTACCTGTATGAAGTTCTGCTTAATTTCTGATTGTACACATTAATGCAGTGAAGTAAGGTTAGATGACTCTGATTTCTGTGCATGAAGTCAATATCCCACTTATGACAGATACAAAAATATTTCACATATAGTCATGCACGTTTTTATGGTAAATGGATTTCAGTTTCATGTTCTTAAATAGTACAATTTGGTCCCAACAAAACTGTTATTTACTACATGCAAGTGCAGTTGAAATTTAGTAAAACAGCAGCCAGCCACCACATCTTTATACTTCATCCACTATGCCCTCACAGTATTCTGTACAGCTCATTATAATTTTTTTTTGTTTCAAAGCCCTTATAAACATATTTATTAACAAAATTAATGAGAATAAAATTCTGGTCCAACATCACATAGATAAGGGCTCATGGTTAAGAAAAAAATGGAAGCACTTGGCAGTAAGGTCATGAGGTCAACAAGTTGTTAGGATGTGGTTTCATCATCAGTTCACAAATCAAACACAGCAGTTCACACCAACTTGTTTTAGATGCATAAGGAATATTTATTTAAATTTATTCTTACAATGTGCTGGGTAATCTGCAGAGCTGCTTAGTCTTTCAATTGTGTTGCTTCATTCCATCTGGTGACAAAATCTGCCATATAACATAGCTGAAACCAAGTCACAACACTGTTGGTTTCTTCAAAATATGTTCTAACAGTACTGCCCAACTATACAGAAAAATTTAATCCAAGAGATAACATTCTGCTTTGTGAACATAAGAGTTCAAAAAACGTGCATGACTACATTGCATGACAAATTCTTGACATTTTGTCATAAAGTGTAACACTGACATGGAAACTCCTGCATGTAAAAATAATGATGCATTCCAAAACATAGAAAATGACTGGTCAGTACATACTACTGTATGTTACTTTATCACAAGCTATAAGTAAGGTACCCAAGGAACATTTCATACAAGAGGGTAATGTATCATACCTCACCTAATAGAAAGTGAACCAATTTCATTCAAAGAGCAAGAATACTTCATAGACAGAATGCTGAAATGAAACATTCCCTGCAGCCAAGGAATTCGGTATTGAATCAGAACTTTAAATGATAGAACAAGAAGGTACGACGAGAGCAACGTAAGCCAAACCCCTAGAATCTAAGCACTGCCTGCAGTTGCCCTCACCTCTTTTCAAAAAATACTGCAATTGTTTTCAGAATTTCTCCCCCCCCAACCCCAACCCCAATGCTGCTTTGTATCATGATAACAATTCCTCCCAATAAATTGTATGTGGAAGGCACACATGTACCGTTTCTGGCTTTTTTAAGTTTGTCTCAAAACGTATAAAAATAATTGAGGTCCTTGTGATATGTCACATATGTAACAGCGAGAAAAAATTTCAATGATTCGCCCAAGCACTATTTTTGTTTTATATTTTTACTTGTTGTTTCGGCACATTCAATTTTTAATTAGCATTGTTTCCACGTTATATTTTCCTGCGCACTTTCTGTGATGAGACTCACATTCTCCACATGAAATAGGTAACCCATGAGGTTGCATGGCAATTTGCAATTAAAACCTCATTCAAAATACGATTTAATACGAACTGTAAGAAACTGAACGTATTCAAACCATGAGATTTTTACTGTAAATTGTGATTGTCAACTATGTTATAATATATATTTATAAACGTTTAGAAATATACCATAAAAATTGAAAAAGAAGTTTAATGAATTGGTCTAAACCAACCCTGTAGCTTTCTTTTCACCTCATTAAGTATAATATTAATTAGATGTAATATAGTTAACTCATTTAAAGCTATGAGAATACTGTTTCAGATATATAATATACTGATTACTATAATAATTATTAATCTGAAGATATTATATGGCTCATAAGCAGGGTGAAAACGTGTTCAGATAAGCAGCAAAGCCATGATCTAACATGGAGAAGGCTTACAAGATATTCTGCAACAAATACCTACTGGGTTTTAGAGTTGGCCTCTTACTTGTGGAGTCAATCTGGACTACCTTTTATATGGGAGGGGAGTGGAGGGAAATCATGAAAATGCTTATACTACACAGAAGATACTGGCAGTACGTAAGTTTAAGAAACTCCAATTCCAAAATTCTTGAATTTTATCAAAAGCTACAAAAAACTGCAGCATTTAACATTTCACCCATAACCATTCAAACCTCAATACATCCTTCTTATTTTAAACAAATGCCACAGGGTTGTTTACAACTGTTACCCAAAAAGGATAAATAAGCTAAATAATAAGAAATACATGTAAAAGCAATTATAGTTAAGAGATACTTTAAGATAAACCTACCTAAAAACTACTACAGCTTACTTATTATATAAGTCCTTAATATGTAATGTGTAAAAAAAATAAAATGAACTAATTAGCTAATGAATATTCACCCTATAAAATGGACTGTACATCACAATGTCCATAAGAAAATAATGAGATGACGATGATGATGATAATAATAATAATAATAATAATAAACTTCTAGTCCACTTCCACAAGTATCCCTACTATTGTTGACAGTGTAACAAAAATCTTCAATTTGTTTCTGAATAGAAATGTCATTTTAATTCTCACAGATGTGCAAGGGTCAGTTTATGATCCAAACTTCCAAGAAGAAATCAATAGTAGTAATAGTAGTAGTAGTAATAATGATAATAACAATAATAATAATAATAATAATATAATGGGAATCATATGCACACATTATCTTCGCCAAGTCTTGGAATGGTTTGATACAAGAAAATGGGGAAAGAATCTTCAAAAGTATTTCCTCTCTGTTAAGTAATATAAAGTAAAAATAATACTCTTGTATCTGAATTCACAAACATGTTTCTGGATCCAAAATAAAGTATCATTTACCCAATTCTCACAACATACTCTCTCTGTCTCTCATTCTGTCATATCTTCTTTAATTCTAAATACACAACATTTATTAAGATAATTCTGTTTATATTTATTTGTTATCAATTGCTCTCTATATAGGATTGAACAAATGCAAAAATATATATATCCAAAAACTGGTTTGACAAACTGGGGCATGTGAATCAAAGTTATGGCGTCATATAGTATAATATATGAACTTCTAAATATCTTCATGTTTCCAAAAATAGCACATTAAAAACATTTTTTTTAGTGTGTGTGGTAATACTTATCAAAGGCAAATGCATGTATAAACATTTGCTTCCACAACTTTAGTATTTTTTGTGTGATTCCCTAAATATTCAGACATGAAAGGTTCTTTTAAGTGTAAGCTATACGTCTAGCATCTGTAAAGATCTACCGATGAGGTGTTAATGGGGCGAGAGGTGGGGGGGGGGGCAGAAACTGTATGAATGTAGCATAGATCTATAAAATGACTTCTTAGCAGGCAGAACAAACAAGATGGCTGATAACATAATTATGTCATTACATGGTGATGATATTTTTACCCATAACAAATTACACAATTTCTATTTACTTTAATTGAATATGAAAATGGGGACACAATTAATGCATTCGATATGTGTTAGCCAATTCCCCGTTTACCTCTTTCTGGGAATAAAGCTACTGACGATTTTAAACTCTCTATATATATTCTAAATTACACTAATCCAGCAATCATGACCAAGTGATACAATCATCCCTGCCAAAGTTGTGCTGCAGCTTGCCAAATGTGCGTTTCTGTCTTCACGTTGTGCATCCATCACCTTCCAATCACTTGGCAGTGTCTTTCACACAAATTTGAACTGCAGTTATATAAAAAGATACTACTACATTCTTTTCATTCTAGTTCACAGTGTAGTCAAATTCGGTCACGTACGGTTTCTAAGTTACTGCTATTCCATAAGAGATATCTGGATATTTTCATTTCTTGTCCCTCCCATCACACCCTGCAGTCACAGACAATTTCTCCAGCCTTGCATGTAATAAAAATGAGGATTAATGATGAACCCTGTACACTTCCTAGTCAATGTATGTTCATAGGAAAATAATAAGTTTATAATGAAATCTGAGATGAATAACACATCCAATCAGCTTGATCTGATCGTCATCATTTGTGAGCAATATTAAAATAAACTCTAATTATTAATCTGTTTCAAAATACCCACACTTAGCTACTGTTCAGAAACTTCCAGTCTTGTCTAAATTAGAAAGTTGTGGATCTGAAGACAACTGATGGATCAGCAGAGTGACAGTAATATAAGATCATGAGGGACAGATGTCACAAAATATGAAAGAATGTAATCAAAACTTAGGAAGTTTAAATGAGATAACTAGCAAACTCAATCCAGTTACTTTTACTCTCATTATCTTTCAATTCATGGAGTTCCTCTTCTACAAAGCACACAAATGTGCTTGACTCCAGCTATCCTCTAGAACTAGTCCATCCATTACTTACTATATACTGAAGCAAACAAATAACGCCCTTGTAAAACATTTGTTAATTAGTTTTGGTCTTCACAAAATTCAGTACATTTTACTTTAATACTCGAGGCGTACACATCCTCTTGCTGTCAAAATGTTATGTTTATATGATCAATACACATATTAGCAAAATGTCTGTTGTCCCTGATAGATATGCATTAGATAATGAATCTGATGAAAGTGCAAAATAGAACATTGTGTTCAGTGGTACAAAGTTATTGGAGATACTGCGATTCTTCTGTTGTTATTGTTCAGTTTCTTCCTGACTTGAAAGCAGTAGGCATGTGAATTCTCCCTTCCTCATACCTCAGTGAGTGGAAGAGACAGATGGAGAGCTGGTTAGATACTTGATTTTGAGAACGAAACTCTTAAATGATTTGATTCACTCAGCTGATAATTGTGCATCTTCTGCAAACACAAAAAGATTTCAAGTGTCACTTAATATTTCCTGTGTCATGAGACTGTACATATAAGGAAAATGTCAACACTTTCTAGCATGGCAGGGCTGTGATGACTTCAAGTCAAACTGTGTTTCATCTCAGTTCATGCCATCATGTAGTTCATACACCTTCAAGTTTCATGATGAAATTAATTAACAAGTCTGCATATAATCCATGCATTGCAATCTTAAATACAAAACATGAGTTACTCTAAATATGTAACCATAGTCTGAAATAACAGTGGCAGGTATCAGATATTACAGAATGGCAATTTGTACAAATGGACAGCACAAAGTATTCCAACTACGCTGTCATACAGCACAGCATCCACACCTTGCTCTTTACAGGAAAATTTGACATGAAAAGTGAGGGGAAGCTAATATATTTGGCATGACCTAGCAGCCACGCAAATGTGACATGTGAGGTGCTGTTCTGTACCATTGCAACATGACACATATAACTGAAGTCATAAAGACTTCCTTGTGAATCATTTCACTTTGTTGGAAATTTAATTTAGGCAGAATTTAATGAAAAGAGTGTTACAGGATGTAACACTGTCTAATTATGTAAAAATTTTGAATAAGGTGGTGGAAAAACAAAACCAGCAGCAGCAGCAGCTATCTTCTGATACCTTAACATTGACATGTGCCCCCTTGAATAAAACGTGCAATATCTGACAAAGCAAGTCTAGCAAATTCAGAGCAATAACCAAGTCTTTAGGTTACAGATGCTATTTTAACAATAGCTGAAAAACCATAATGTGAAGTTAACTGAATAAGCAATGTTACAATATGGTCATATATGTTACACAATAATAAAAATTAAAAATGAGAACAGGAAAGTTAATTAACACTATTCCCAACATTTAATGTCAAAATTAATAGTACAAGCACAGGACGCTGGCAAAATGATATTTGGCAACTCACACAGAATACCATGTCTTAAAAGAAACTCTCTACCAAATATCTGCCATGGCCAAATTAAATTTTAACCTTTATCTCCACTATCTGCATACTCTTTAGAAAATTAGCAACTGTATTATGGGCATTTAAACAGTGAGGACGTCATTTACAGTGCAGATGAATGTAGCCCCACAAGCAAATTTTGCCATGTATGGCATTAAGAAGAAGAGAATTTTAGGCTTGTTTTAGCTGAAGTAATGCAAAAATTAGCATGAGAAGAATCAATTCTGCTTGTGAAGTGTTTACCATACAGTCAATAATAATTTCATGAAAGTAGTCAACAAGTCAGCAATATTGTGACAAAATGCCTGAAAGCCAGTAGAGAGGAGACATGTGACACAACTGCTAAACAATGGCTTGGCAATCACATTCCAGTAGCAACAGATATAAAGTTGCACAACTCCTGGGGTTTCAACACAGAAAAATATGGTCATGAGTCTCGCGGGGCCCGAAATCAAAAGTGACTGTGCTGACAAAGGCCAGCAGCAGACAAGACAAGGAGAACAAGTCGTCAGTCACAGTCAGTGGTTAGCCATCAGCTGTGAGCACAGAAGAAGAGGAATCTCTATCACTAGAAGCCACTACAAGCAATATACAGATTAAGAAGTCTGGGCATGTGCTGTAGTTATTTGCAGAACATGTAGAGAGAATGAAGGCCATGATATAGGTTGGCCTAGAAGAAATGAAGGCTGTAGTTTGCTCTATGTGGTCCAAGCTAGAAGAGACCATCAACAATCTGGTGGAGAACGTCCTGGTGTCTGCTGACCAAACCCAGAGCCACCATGAGGAACTCTATGCTAAGACTGACGATACACGGTTGGGTTTACAGGTGGTGATGTTCCTCGATACATGGACAAGTCACCATAAGTAATTCAACACAGATATCCAGGGATGCTATTTGACATAAAATGATGAAGACCCAAGTAGAAAACAGACACTGTGAGTTCAAAATGAAAATGGCATAAGCAGAGGCCCAAGCTGGGCATAGATCTTGTGGGAGCACAGGAACTGGTGTGAAGACAGTAGAGCTACCAAGGTTTGATGATCAACATCTTGAGCCATGTTCCACCACCAGTTCAAGGCCACAGTAGGGCATAACAACTGGGCACCCTGCCAAAAAAAAAAAGTGGGCACCTGCTCACTAATTTTCAAGGGCATAATGTTCTGCACAGCATCCCTACTGAAGCAACATGAGACTACTGAGGCTCCAAAGAGTTGCTATGGAGCTCACCACCTCGACACAGCATACCACTCTCAGCTGGAAGCAAGGACCCTGCTTGTTGGTTTGCCACAACCACCGAACAACTTACCCACTGTGCCCACCCTGGACTACCCAAGCATTGCATTTGGAACAAAGCAAGCCACACATTTGTCAGTGTGATAAGTGAGTGAGACATGAACCAGCAGCTACTTATGGAGAGTGAGTGGATACTCAGCAAGGTTCTCAGTCAGACCACCAAGACAGCCAGAATGTGTATCGGGCTCTATCAAATGAGCAACAGGACAACCTGGAGGAGCCAGCCCAATGCAACAGAACACACAGGGGACTGACAGCTTACATGCTGGCGTTGAGAGAGCATTGGTCAATTCTGAGAGGACTGCCCCCACAAATGCAATGATAAAAGTGACAAACGCTCAGGAAACAACAGGGGACTAGCAGGAAGGCAACTGATGCCAAGGACCACAAGCAGGAGCTGGTGGGAAGAGGGTACTACAGGAGTCTCTGCCTCCACCCCCACTGTGTGATATTCAAAGTCAATACCTGAGTGCCTAAAGCTGGATTGGTGAAAAAATATATCTCATGACCAGCACCCTGCCTACTGGCAGGCCTGATTTTCCATGGGAAGCTTAGTCAAAGTCACATTCTGCTGTCACTGCTGGAGAAGCCTAACTGATTCGATAACCACTGAAGAGGCTCCCTCTAGCAAAGCAGACAGAAGTGGGAAAGAGGCTTGAGGACATACAACATGGGGATACTGAAGAGTCAGACAGATCCTGCTCATCTCCTGTCATTCATGTCTGGAAGAAAACCGGGACCTCTGTTTCTGTGCAAACTATAGGGAGCTGAATGACTGTTTCCCACTACTGGGGACACACTCGCTGCAGCCAAATGGCTCTCCACTCTAGATCTGAAAAGCACTTATTGGCAGGTGGTGCTATATCCTGATGATAAGGAAAAGATGGCATGCTCGATAGGTCAAGGGTTGTGAAAATTCATGTTCATGCCCTTTGGCCTCTGCAGTGTTCCAGTGATGTTTGAGCAGCTGATGGAAGCTGTCTCATGTGGCCTCATTTATGAGTCATGACTGGTATATTTGGACAATGCGACTAGACTGGCCACACATTCCAAAAACAAATGCATAATCTACAGGAGGTATTCCAATTCTCAGAGATCCACCTTAAGCTCAATCCAGAAAAGTTCCAACTCTTGTCAGATGGAACACATAAGTCTAAAGAAAAGAATTACACAAGAAAATACTTGGATAGCAAGGAAGGCACATGCAAAAATATTTTACCATGTAACTATGCATGTTGGAGAAATGCATGCATACTTACTATAAGAGCGGAGACAGCATCATCCACTGTTGGTAGCTGGATCAGAGCCATCTTTCTGTCCTTACTGTAAACATTACCAGAGAGAATGAGAAGTGAAAATGCTCAAGCAAATAAAGACACACTAGGCATGCAAGATGTTGAATTTGATGCAACCAATCTTGGCACTAAAAGAAGTGATGACATAAAGGTTAGTTCTTATGATGATGTGAACCTGTAATCTGCAGCTCCATGATCACACTACAAGTGTAACCGACCTTGAATTATGACTCTATGCTTACAATGTAGTGAAGTCAGCTCTGCTCTCTTAAACAAAGAACTGTCTTTTTGCTGCTGTGGCATGGTGATGAGCTGAATTTTAATCTTTTACTCTTTCTGATAATCTCGTAATTGTTCCAGCTTATGATTTGACTTCAATGTCCACACCTGTTTCAACGCCAGCAAAGTGGAGCTGACTACAAAAGTCAGAGATAGGTGCTAAAAAATTACAATATTTGTAACTTCTAGAAAACTATCTCTGAGAGGCCTGAACATGTTGCAAACACAATTTCCACAAACACAGATAAAGACAGTTAAAGCAGACAATATACATTGTATAAAAATTTTCATTGAAGCTTTCATTATGAGACAATCAGGTGTTTGTTTCTTTTAGGAAAGTAAACAAAATAAATCATGTAAGAGGCATGACTGACTCTGACGAACATTTCACTTAACATTAAATGTGTTCACTAATACTAATTCTAGATTAGTACTTACGGGAAGAACTTGAAAGCTTTGACTGGAAACCCATTCTTTGTAAATGCATCCTTGATCTCTTCTTCAGAGACAGAGGGTCTGAAAAAAAAAGATTCATTGCCACATACAAAACTGACCAACTTTGCAGAATATACAACCATGAAAATTGCCGCTACACAGAGTATTTGGCAACAAACATCTCAGAGATCACAGGCCTGAAGAATTATCTGATACAGCCTGTTTGATAATGTCTTTAAGAGGAACTACTAAATGCTTACCACATAAACAAAATGGTGCATAAATTATTCCCTACCTAAGCTTTGAAGATACTGAAATATCTGGATGATGGTATAAATATGAACATGGAAATATGCACCAAGATACAGATATTTTTCATTCATGGAGTAGCCTACATGTTCAGTATGGCTACCATTTTGCATAAAACTTCTTGCCACAAACATATTGTGAGCACAACAGAGGACCCATACCTCCCCAGCAGCATGTGGCGGTAACATAGCGCTCTTGTTACTACGATAATAGGCGAGTCATCACCCCGCCACTCTCCCCATGGTGACGTAACGCGCAACGCGCGGTGACATGCCGAGTGGAGCCGAAGTGAGCCAAGTCCCAGCGCACTGGTCGCTAGGCAATGCGGATAAACAGTGATGCCTACCACGTGGTTGTTTTCTCATTGCCCTGCTGAGGGTTTATAAGGGAGCTACACAGCCGCCGAAGATAGTTCTCAGTTCCGAATTCAGTTCCGAGCAAGCCTACGAGTTAGTTCTCAAGGCAGCATTTACGAGTTAGCCAGCAGCCAGTCAGTTGTATTCTGGCATTTGCAATGTAGTATTTGTGATACTGACGATGGCAGTAATTGTCAGATTGTAATTTGGGTGATTGTAAGTGCGAATGTGAAATAAAATTCGCTATATCAAATACGGCGTGAAGTTATTTGTCGCATTATACACCCAATACGTGACAATATGTTCAAAACTGCATGGCAACATGTGCCCTCCAGAACTCCTGACACATATGGATGACCGTGGCCCTGAACTCCCATCACTAAGGCCAGTTTCTATGGTAACAGTTTGTCCTTCATGAATTCCCAAAGAAAGTAGCTGCAGGAATTAATGTCCAGCCCCTTAGATGGCCAGATCCTTCCACCTGCATTCCAATCAGGACAGCGACCAGTATTCATGCAGGGACCAAAGATTTCATGGAGAAGTTCATCAAAATAATACTTGCTCTATGTGGCAACTTGTCACTCTGCATAAACTATGTGTGTCTATTGGCCAACAGGTTAAGGTATAAAACTGTTATGCACCATTCCCAGGTACCACTCACAGTTCACAGTTCACAGTTTGGTCAAAATAGAACAGTCTTATGTGTCCATGGCTTGGTATGAGAGCCCACACTGCAATCATGATGGCATCATGAACTTTCATGCTGAACATGTATGAACTTTCTGCAGCTCATCCAAAAACCATGAGGTGTGCAGTATGGCTCCTTTGAGTTCAGCCCATTCATTTTGTACTGGAATTTATATATTTAGCCACCAGGTTCCATTGCAACTTTTCTTGTTGATGCTTTTGGGGGTCACTGCAGGGCAACTCTAGCAGTGTTAATGTTCTGGAAAAAATGCACCTTCACAGTGAGAGGATGTTTTCACTCAAAAACCAATCCATCCTAGAGGCAGTTTTCTGATAAGGAGCCCTCCAAGAATGAATGTAATAAGTCTAATGCAGCAAAAAAAAATGTCTTGCAGTCTAAGAATACTAAGGGAAAAATGGGAAGAGACAGAATTACAAATGAAATTTCATTCATGGAAGTTGTAACTCAGAAGTTGTTAATACAGCCAGAACTGAATTGGCTGCAAGTGTCTGACCCTGAAAAGAGAATGGCAGGAACAAGGATACCAAGAATGACAGTAATTTAAAATTTAAAGCAAAGAAACCAACAGGATGACCCACAACAAGATGGTTCCGAAGCCATTTTGAGAAAGAGCTGGGAAGAAATAAAAGAGGTAAGATGAAAGACAGAAGGGACTGTAGAAAATTCGTTCAGTTACCTGCATAAAGGGGAGACAATGCAGAATGAATGCCATGGGCGTGTGTGTGTGTGTGTGTGTGTGTGTGGGGGGGGGTCCACTGATTTACTCTTTATTTACATAAGACATTCACATATATGTCAGCACATCTATAGCAGATGACCAGCTTTTGGCAAGACAGCTGTGGGGAAAAGCATAAATCAACTACACACAGTAATGTGTACTGTTTCAGAAAATTATATTACTGAGAATAAAGAAGGTGACAAATCTGTAGACAGTGAAGAGATATAGCATATTCTTAAGAGCAGAAACCTTTGCTACTCCAATTTTTGTCACTTTCAGATTTATTTTCTTTAGGTTAGTGTTTAATACCTTGAGATAATATTTTCTGTAATGAAGCCATATAACCCTTCCACAGATTTTTCAGGTCTCACATCTATCAAGTAACAAATGCTCTAAAAGTTTCAAATATTCCTCGGCACAAAAAAAGAAAAACAGTTTACTGTGCTACCAAAGAGAAACAAATAAAATGGAAATTTAAAACACAAAAGCTGCTTCTTTCTTCTGATCATTATAGCAGGATTCTCTACATAAAGTAGAGTGCTGTATACAATATCACTTATAATTTAAACAAACTTTACCACAAAAATTGTAGACTATGTTAGGTGAAAATCAAATTAGGGGAGGAAGGGAAAGGTCAGCTACATTATGGGTTGACTAATGAAGCTCTCTTTCTCCCAATATTCTACCATAGATACAAATAGAAATCAATTCCATGAGAGAAATAGGGCACAGTTATCTGCCTGGTTACTGTATGGGAATCTAGTATGATAATAGGTAATCAACAATTGTTATAGAAAAGACTAAGAATAATCAACTCACGGAATGTTGGACAGATGGAGAGTAGCAGAAGGTGGATAGATATTCTGGTAGTTCTTTGAGCCTGGCTTCTTAAAACGATGTAAGGTTGAGTTAGAGTAATCCTTGGTGAGCCCAGCATCAGGCTGTCCCTCTTTAGGCAGTTGCACCGTCTGATGTTTAGATGGCATTACACGGATCTGCTTTCCAAACACTCTGAGCTTGTCCATGTGTGTCATAGCTAAAATAAACACCAATACATCTAAGATGCTATGTCTATTAGTTGTGAAAACATAAATCTATGTTTGCAAAAGGGAAGCAGAGAAAAAAATCATATGATTTTATAATTTACATTTATTTATATTTTTTATTCATCGCCATATAAAAGAGAGTATGGCTTATGAAATCTTCTTGTTTCTTACAAACTTTCTACACTAAGTTTAAAAACCAGCAACAATAAAACATCCATTTATGTTAGACCATCATAAATTAAAATGTCTTAAACATTTATTTTTGCCATACCAACAAAAGAATTGTTCCCTTTAAACCCACTGATACATGTTGCTGGCAGTGCACAAATTCTGAACCAAAACTGAACAAGACTCTCTAGAGATCTGTAATAATTGTTTTATTCATTGCACTGATATTATGTTGGTCACTGTCCCCAGTCATATATCTGACATTCTTGGAGTAGGTTCTATTCGTAACTTCTGGTGATCGGCTGTCATTATGCTGAAAGATTTATTAATTTACACAATACAGTGAAACCTCAAGTGTACCTTGATTTCAGGTTCTCCCTCATTTAACATTCAATTTCAGAGATAAACTTTCTTGATTTAAGATCTTCCTCAGTTCAGTTTTCAAGTCTAGTTCTTTTCTGCTCCGATTCTAATGGTAACAATGTTCTACAGTGCTGGTGTTTCAAATTATATCTCATCCAGCTAAAAATACATCCACATCACTGTCCAGTCATCTTACAAAGAGGAAGGGTTTTACTAATGTTTCAAACGTATCTTCAACTACTGAGTTCTCAATAAGATATATGAGGGTCGTACTGAAAGTCATGAGCAACAATTTTTTGTAAAGCAACATGTTTTATTATTGACAAACCACATACACCACCTCAATCTACAGACCTTTCTTTATTTTCCAACATAATCACCACTTCTTTGTACACATTTCTCCCAGTGTTCTGGAGTTTGAAAATTCCCCTTCTGTAAAATTCCGTTCCAGCAATCCGAAGACACTGACGCTCTGCTTTCTGAATTGCCTCCCTTTTCTCAAAACGTCCACGCAGCTGATCCTTCACAAATCCAAAAAGATAGTAGTCAGTGGGTGCCAGATCGAGGCTATAATAGGGGTGTGGAAGAACTTCCCACCCCATCTTTGCAATTACTTCCTATGTGAGGCCAGCGACATGGGGGAGAGCGTTGTCATGCAGGATGATGTTTCGTCCCAGACGTTTATCGCACAATGCACGACAGAGCTTGTGCAGCGTCTGGACATAACGAGAAGCACTGATGGTTTGCTCAGGTACCAGGAATTCAGCCAGAATAAACCCCTCTGCATCCCAGATGACTGTGCCCATCACCTTCACAGCTGATGGCACTGTCTTTGCCTTCTTTTTTGATGGAGAATGCAAATGGTGCCATTCCATACTCTGCCGTTCCGTTTCATTTCAGGCTCAAAATGATGAAACCAGCTTTCGTCACCTGTCACGATACAGAGCAAAAATCATCACCTTCATGTTGATATCTCTGCAACAGTTCTGAGGTGATGGATTTTCGCTGACCTTTGTGGTCTTCGGTCCATAATCGCGGGACCCAGCGAGCACAAACTTTCCTATAGCCCAAGCTTTCAGTCATCTCCTGTACTGCACTGTGCACTATTCCAAGTTTTCGGGCTACTGTGTCCACAGTCACACGCCTGTCATCTTGAATGATCTCATCCACTCTTTCCTTGTTACATTCAGTTGAGGCTGTTCGAGGACGACCGCTCCGAGGCTCATCTTCGATGCTGGTGTTCCCAGCTTTCAAATGTTTCACCCATCTTCGAACACTGCTCGCTCCCATGCACACACTTCCATAAGCATGCTGAAGTCTCTGGCAAATTTCTGCAGCAGGGATTTCCTCTTTCACAAGAAACTCGATGACAGCACACTGGCAAAACGACATATCGCTGTCGGCCATTTTGTTAGGAGTGACACTGGTCACGTGATGCAAGCTATCGACGTCACAAGACACTCAAGGTCAACACAACAGCTGGTTCCACCTACGACCATACTCTCTTTCGTCTGCTGTTCCCAGGTTGCATTAAAAAAAAAGTTGCTCATGACTTTCAGTACGACCTATGTATATATATTTTCCTTACAAATTACCTATGCCCTGCATTGTTCTATCATACTGAGAAAGCAACCTGATGACTGACAAACTAAAAGAACAAATGCCAAATTCAATGCCACATAAAATAATCGTCCATCTGCATTTTTATAAAATAAATGCTTTCATTTATGATTAGGTTTCCATGGATTTTTTTTTCTATATGGTAGTGAACACCCTCCATGGTGATAACAGTAGTCTTTCCATTTATGGCATAAGAGATAGAATAAGAAACAGTATATGACAAAGCGAGCAGTCTAAGGCATGTACTGTCTTCGCTCGCTTGGAAACCAGGATTGGGAGTTTAAATCCCACTCAGAGCATGGATGTTTAGTTTGTTTGTTTGTGTGTGTGTGTGTGTGGGTGTGCACGCGCGCGGATGATTTTCTGTGTTTGTGTACAGGCAGAGGCCTCGCAACGAGCTGATCACCCACCCAAGGAGTCCTACCGAATGTGTAAGATCTAGAAAAACCGAAGTTAACGAAGAAGTTCATGGAGGTAGGCGGCTGTAGTGCCAAGGACAAAAAAATATGAAAAGGGAATGAAAGAACAAACAATTCTTGAACTTAAAAAGTGGTACAGCAAGTTAAGTCCTCTAAGGAGGACTTCCTTAAAGTGACAAACACTGTTGGAATTGCCAATTTCTTAATGTTACAAATACAAAAAAAAAACTATCACAAAAGATAAGGCACCTCCATCATAATGAGTAATTAATAATTAGCTGCCACTCTTTTCCCTTAACATTTTGCACCAAACGTACCTGAAATTTTCCTTCTGAAGTTATTTATGGCTAGCAGTTGGTAATGTCCTGGTAAGTTATCATCTCTGCCCCACCCTTCACTAAGAGAAAGTTTGTATTCCAGACTCTGACAGCACCTTACCCCGACCAAGTTTCAACCCCTGAGAAATGTATATCACGTGATGTCCTCTGGATTCTATCATGCCATACTGTAGTACATGTACTTACATATTAGGTGACAGACTTACTCTTATGTATTAACCATTTTTGGATAGTAATATTCATTAGAATGAAGATTATCTGAATTATATAAACTCTCGTAATATCAAAGTTGCACCATATACCCTATTAGTTTTTGAGCCTCAGTTATACTGCTTGTGTAACCAACATTCTGGGGAACACTATAGTTGCCACCTTCCTTGAAAATTAGTACTATAAATGAGTAGCCTGAGTTCTGAGGCAGGTTTTCAGCATGGGAACAACAAAGACAAGAAGGCTGTTACTGCACAGCTGGAGATATTCTGTGGAACCAGTACTATGGTGTTCGTACGTTAATTTTATGTTCAGCAACTGTCTTGCACAGGTAATTATAGTATGCGCCAAAAACAGTACTGAAATGAAAAGACGTCCTGTTGATACCACTCTCTATTCATGTGAAGGCCCCTTGCATGGCAGAACCTTCTCAAATCCTGAAGAAATGATCCGATCACCATGTCCTTGTAGCATTCTTGGGTGATAGTAAGAGCATTGCCTTCCTCATCCTCAATGAAATATGGGCCTAATATACTGTGTGCTGAGACGACACACCATATCGTCACACGTGTACTATGTAGCGGTTTCTGGACGATAACATCTGGCTGCTCAAAACCAAGGAAGCGAGTTGTCTGGTGACCACTTCCATATGAGTGGAAATAATACTCAAACATGAAAACTTTTTCCTCCATTGAGAGACCCATTTCCAACAACAACCGCACAACACAACTTCCTTTTCACTACTGGGAACACATGCGGCTGGAGCTACACCCTGTCGACAAACGCACATGTGCGTCTGAGATGCGCGACTTTCAGTTCTGTATATTTTAGCACATATTGTACATGCCTCAGAAAAAAGTTTCTCCTTCCTTCTGTGTTGTGGCAACGCTATAAATTAACCTATGCCCATGTCACAGTTTGCTATTGTCAGTTTTGCACATACCTAGTACAGCCATAGAAATATCAGTCCTCTCACAATATTTGTAGGTAAATTGTCTGCAATGCATGGAATAATGGCATGAGCAACAGGCAATGTACAAACCATCCAAGAGTAATGGTGCAGATGGGTGGGAGAAATCAGCTGGTTTCTCTGTCACAACAGGAGCATCTTAAACTAGTTATACAAGAACAAGCTCTACTGTTCAGGAAAAGGTGCACACTTACCCAAGTGTGCTTGGTGTGGTTCTGACATCTGGATCAGTGCACTATCTTTCTTGTTGTAGAGAATCTTTACACGCTGCACATCTCCATATACACCTGTTGGAAAACAGCAACATTCAACTCACATACAGACACCCATTTCTTATGTGATATGGCCTCTATCATACAAATGTTATGTCCTGAAAACATTGCCAACAAAGTCTAGAGATCTAATGAAGGTTACATGTTTTTGAGAATTAAATAAAAACCACCTCTTCATACATTCATTCTCATACAATGTTTTCATCCATAAATATCAAAGAGTAGACCCTACGTGAGAAAAAGTACACAAATTTAAAATAATATATTACAACTGATTGAATTGCATCAATGGTGGAATCTGATGAACATGGTAATGAACTTTCAGGTTCCATAAAAATGTGGGTTATCAAGTACAGGGAATGTCATAGGTATTATCCATAAAGAAAATGAACTGAAAATGATGAAGGTACATACAGAAGGTATTGAGCCCCCTCCCTCAAGAAAAAACTAAAGGTTCACAAGGAATATAGAATGTAAGATTTGAGGTTTTCATGGCACCACATCCCAGAAGACTTCTTTTTCAAGGAATATACAAGATTGCTATATTTTATAGTAGGGCAGATATAAAAATGTGCCTCTGAGGAGATAACATTCTTTATCAACAAAGCATGGAAGAATAAAATCCACAGTTATACTTTCATTAATGAAAAAAATGATTGTATGATTAAATCCTAAAAGCAGATCTCTAACACTCTTTAACAGGTACACAACTGAGCAGTAAAAAATTAAGAATCAGATAAAATCTTTAAATTATTACAGAATACTACGGCTAAAACACTTTTTACAGTTGTAAGAATATCCAAAAACTTAAATGGGATGGCAGGATGTAAAATGACAACTGATTACATAACAACCAATCAAAAGACAGAAGCAATGGTCGATACTATGGCATTCGGTGGTGTAGATATTAACTCTAATCACATCCATGATTTATTTCAACTGTCTTCCAGTGCATACACTCATCTATCTCACTCCTCTCTCTCGCACATGTTTCGGCACAAAAGTGCCATCTTTAGGTGCTAATCACATCTTTGTATTGTAAAAAAATTAAGTTAATAAGATGATGGGGAAAAGAGGGGAAGGCAGAAGCATAGTTGGTCAGGCACTATACTACAAGCTGGAATGTCACGGGTTCAATTCCCAATGAGGTCACTGGGTTTTTTCAATTGACCTAATCCTTTCAGCCGCACTATGGACCTGGGACCAACTCAGCCTCCAACAGAAATGAGCACCTTGGGGTAAAGGACAGCTGACACATCAGGCTGACAACCTCACCGCCATCTTTGAACCGATTGTCTAAAAAAGTGTCGGATCCTCAATTTTGCACAACCCTATGGGATTCCATGGGCTGTTACAGGGATAACTTTATCTAAGACAATGGAAAAAGATCAATAAATTATGAAAATACAAAAAGGAAACTAAAAAGTCAATGTACTTAAAGAAAGCAGGGTTAAATACCTCTACCACACATGCACGCACACACACGCACACACACACATATGAAATGCTTGGGTATTTCTCCACTCCTCCCCAGTTCCAAGTTTGTGGGAAAACCAAAAGTGGTGCCATTTGACAGCTCAATTAAGGGGGATGCTTACAGGGGATACACAAAGAAAACTACAGAGAACATACCCAAGATTACACAACTCAGCAATGGAATTTGCATCAGTGGGTACAGTGATAAACTGCCACCTGCAAATGTTCCCGACTGTCTCTTGGTACACGGACATATTCACCCCTTTGGTATCACCACTATATCCAAGAGAGGCAAATAAGCCTAGATATGGACAATTCTATACTTTTGATCATGGTCACGCAACAACAAAATGTCTTGAAAACCAATCAAACAAAAGGCATAAGGCTAAAGCAATGTAATGATTGGATGGGATGTAACAAGTTAACCCATTTGCTAAGTCATATTGGCGAATGCATCAGATGAAATAAAGTGCATAAATAAAATGTGTTTATATTTAATTAATGACCATTAAGTGCTGTTAAAATGGTGTACATTATGCCAGGTACAGCAAAGAGTCATGTGCTACAACAAAATCCAATGAACAGAATATTAACGCAGAGTGTAAATCCCTAAGAAGTCATAAAAGTAGAGGCTTCAGAATTTGGAACAATAACATTTTTCAGTATATAAATGAAAAGAAAAAAGTTTATCTGAAACATCTTCATGCTAGAACACATGATGACAGAGCTGCTGACTATAAAAGGAAGAATGCTGCTGCGAAGAGATAAATCTGAAAGATAAACAGAAAAACTGCAGAAAATGTAGCCAATTAGAGTATCATGTTTATGGACATTGGAACAAGACCACTGAAGTACTGAAAGATTTAAATACAAATGTCTGAGATGAAGAATGATATAATCCAGTACCACACAAGAAATAGAGACAATTTTATAAAGAGACCTGGACAAATACAGAACAGGATCTGTTCCCAATAGCAATGTTGTGAAAGCTTCATTTTAGCTCCACATATCAAAGAATGCAGATGGAAGTTTACAGTGTTCCAAGTACATAGTAATATGATTAGCAGAACAGTACTTGCAAATACAACAGAAATGGCAACACGCCTAGCTGACATGTGACTGTAAACCAAAGCTGTTCTGAGGCAGAATGCACCCAGAGCTGATACAAGGGATCATTAAATCACGGCCTGACTGTAGTAATTAAAAAGAATATTTTCAACCAAAACGAAACAGCATGAACAGTAGCTTGTCAGAGTTAACACGCATACTTCATTAAATAACTGCTGTTAACATGTTTACAAAAGGTGTACAGACTTCAACACAAAGTTCAACTAACACTCTATTTTATATTTCTATTTTTTGAATTCACAAAGGCTATTTGCAAGTACCATGTAAGAACATTTGAGCACCTACACTGAACCAAGCAATATGACACACAAGGTAATGACAGAAGACCTGAAATACCCAAAAGGCACGTTAACAAAGACCATTTCTAGGTGAATTCTTCTGTAATTCATTTGGTGCTGCATATTAGGAATATGAATACAGACTGAACTTTGAAATATTCAATTTGGATTTAAAGCCTGGAGAAATGAACTAACAGCCACAGTCTACACAACATATATTGTTCTGATTGAACACTATCATGTTAAAAAAAAAAAAAGAGTCCAATATGAACTTAAATAATGAAATGTTTCAATTCATATCTAAAAATTTATGCTAGAACTTCATACAAAACCCCAAATTTGGAAGCTTGAGAGGGAAGTGTGAGGAATAAAAATGTTCAAATATATAAGATTTGCTTATGCATATCAATTTCAAAAAGCCTAATGATTCAAAAGCCATACTGCTGTTCACTATGATCATGATTCAGGCTTCAAATAAGCGTACAATTCATTTACAAAGCCCAAGCACAAAAATGTACAAGAATTAAATATCTCAGACTATACTGGACAATGCCAGACAATGGATATCACTGAGATGGAGGGTTAAAATTAATAGAACTAAATGAGTGAAATATTTTATGTCATACGAATTTCTTCAGTACAATCAAATGTTTTCTTTTTTCAGAATTGCAAATCAGTGTATAAACTGTATCTACAAGCAACACTTCCGGATTCCTCAATACACAAAGATGGCAATATTGCAACAGTAATTTCATCCACCCCTTATTCATTCATTATTCATTTCGGACTCCTCTAAATGACAAGATGCCAGCAGTACCAGCAACACCAAGATATTTTTATAAGATTTCAAGCATTTATACCGAAATACGAGTATTTTGATTGTTATATGGGTATTCTGGGCAGACAAATCAAGTAGGGAACAAAGTGGCTGAAGCAAAATTTGAGTTCACTCAAAGTTCCAAAATTGTGTCAGATTCCTCCTAACACATTACATAAGGTCACCACTTTCTTTGAGTCTGTTACAGTAATATAAATATGCACAAAATGCAATAAATTGAGAATTAAATATACCTATAATTTATTCAATCACACACAATTCAAAAATGGTTTTGGCAGACTAGGTGCTAATAAGCTGCCAGGACAGGTTACTTCCTACCTGTCAAATGAGTTCAGCAGCACTTGGATATGTATGCATGGAGATCACAGTCAGTGTGGTGCACTGTCGCTTTTGAGGAAAGTTTATGCTTTGCTACTTTTGCAAGAGAGCTGTTACATTTGAAAAGTACACAGGAAGAAACCTACATTCCTTATAATTTGTACTATTACATGTATGTCTCCTATCTCTCATACAGTGATACAAACACATGTACAAGGAAGAATGAGATGCATACGGTATTCTAGATTGTGACACCATTAAGTCCTGTGGGTGGATACCAATGTTTTGGAGGAAAACTGGTATGCCATACAAGACTCCTGTCCACTCATGAAGAGATGGTGGGACAAGCGGTGGGCAGAACCAATCTGCTTTTCGCTTAAGAACTAATTAAGAATCACTGTACCATGGGCAATGACAAGAACTGCCCAAAAACAATACCAGTCTCTTCAGCTTGCACAGTACATGTGGGAGGGCTCTGGTCATTGTCTTACCTTCTCTTCACTAGAAGAGTGTTCATGGTGCCACAGGTCAGAACACTAATGCAAAAACTTATAATGACTACATTAACTTTATAAATCACAAATATGCCAGTCACAGTAGCCGAGCAGTCTAAGGCATGCACTGTCTTCGCTCGCTAGGAAGCCGGGATCGTGGGTTCAAATCCCACTCAAGGCATGGATGTTTGTGCGCGTTTTTGTGTGTTTGTGTACAGGTAGAGGCATTGTGACGAGCTGATCACCCACTCAAGGAGTCCTACCGTATGTTTAAGATCTAGTAAAACTGAAGTGAAAAGGAGAGTTTCATGGAGGTAGGCCTAGGCCAAAATGAGGGCTGAAGTGCCAATGAAAAAAAAATTCAGCTCACTGTCTAAAAGTTGCAAGCCAGGCCATAATATAAAGAGAGCCCCGATGTAGGGATGCCATATGCTTACAATCAGAGTTCTCATTTTCATGTCAGGAAAATTCTGAATATCACAAGGAAAATAAGATGTTCTATGCAATGAAGGGCAAAGTCATTTCATGAACACAAGACACACTTGACGTTAAAGAAAGATGGTTACTGTGGTTCTTGAAAACGTTCATGGCAGAGTAGCCTAAAACAAGTAATGTAGACACAGAACCTATCGGTTTATTATGTCTTTCTTGTTCTAAATGTATAACATGAACACTTTATTTTTGGTTTCTTTGCATCACAAACTGTTTATATACTGAACTATTCAAAGGTCTTCTGTGAAATTTGGCGTAACATGCAGAATCACTGAACTGCAGAAGGGTGGATGGGTACCTGATGTGTACCAATACAACTGCACTTCTGTAATTACATCGCTCTTAAAATTAAATATCATATAATTACAAAAAACAACACAGGTCAATGGCTCTGGTATATTTATGTCAATATCAAAAATGTAATGGAGACATTTAATCAATTTTTTTTCTTTAATTAATAGCCTTATATGGAAGACTGTTCTTATGTAAGCATTACCTGTATCAACAACAGCTTTCTTCTTGCAAGAAATATACAACAGAGTATTTGGAACAACACAAATGCACAAAGAGACACACACCAATGCACTCAAGACACAGAAACATTAAAACTCGTGAAATAAATCTGTGCAGAAGTTTCCAGGCGTGTTGTGTTCAGTACAAAACACATGCTACCACAAAAAATAATTAAACAATACAAATACAGCTGAAAACATTGAAATATTTAAATACAACACCAATGTTGATAAATTAAAGAATATGACTGAAAAAATAAAGGGGAAATGTGAAAACACACCACAACAAGTTATAAATCTACAAGCAAAAGTTTGGACTTAGAAAATAGAATATTATATGGACAAGCCAGTAAATAAGGAAACATGAATTTTGAAAATTAATTAATTAATGGGTTTATATGAAAAGCAAAAGCATTACCAGAAAATGAAAAACAGAAGTTTTGGCTAAGTTGTCTATTTGCAATTATGTAATAAAGGAAGTTATGTAACAAGAGTTTCTCTATGTACAGAACAAAAATTTGGATTTAAGAAACATTTCAGTAAATTTTATGTTGTAGCTAAGAAATTATAGGAAACAAAAAAAAAAAAAAAATAAGAACGAAATTGAGCCTAATACATCACCACCTCTGTAGTAGGTGAATGTTATGTACATTTCAATTTTTGACCCTAAATCAAAATTTGGAAACACAAGAAACAGTTAGCAAATAATGAATTTCTATAAAAAAGCATTAATTTCAATAAGTTTAAAAACACATGCAATTATAAACCGAATTGCACCTACAAAAAATATTAAATTTTATTTCAACAATAAAAAACACTGAAATTTTGACTAAAAGCAACCATCATAATAAAAACACTGGAGAAAACTAACCACAAATGTACTAAAAATAAAAATATCAATGAAATAATATTTTGTATATAAAAGTAATATTAATAGTAATAATAATAAAAAAGATCTGTGCATAACATACCAAATAGGGTAAAAAGAGCATCAGGCGTGACCATCTACGGAGTGAGAGAGAGCAGAAGTAGATATTTTTGCGTAGATTGTTCATAGAGTTGAAGAGCAGTGGGAATTTTTGTATGTTTTGTAGTTGAGTCCAGGGCAGAGGGAGGCACACACCGCACCACACATGTCAGTTCAGGCGGAGAAGATATATTTGGAAAAAAAGAGAACAAAAAGAGATCTGAGAAAATTATAAATTACTATGATATGCTTGAGGAGGGGAAAACAGCATAGCATTGAATGAAATGTAATATGGAAGACTGTTCCATTCTGTTCTGTCAAGAGTATTCAGAACAGTCAAAGCAATGGATTCGCTGATTCTTACATCCATCAGGTATGGAGCTAAAATTGAGATTACATGAAATTACAGTTGGTCTCACAGGAAAACTATCACACTTCATTTTAGAAGAAAAGTGCTGCCATTTGAAAGCTGCACGCATGATTCACTTTTTTTTTTTTTCCAAGAACTGGTGGATAAATCACAGCAGACAGCAGCAGACAGCCTGTCAGAGAGTGGTTTGCACTTCTGCCTCAAAGAATTGCACATCTTCCACTGAATTAAATAAATACACTTTGTCTTATTTTTCCACACACACAAGCATCAATCCTGCTTCTGGCTGCAGAAAACTACCCAAACGCGTGCAAGGCCAGAACTTCAGCATTTTAATTCCTGTAAGGAAATGTTTTTCGAAGATATCTTGTCATTCAATTCAATGAAAGCAATTTAATATCATACAACACCTGGCAAGACATTACACAACACACTCTCAGAACACAGCAGACTTAGATTTTACAAGTTACAGTGTATAAAACCGTTCATTTGGAGATACAATAATCAGCTACTTTTTTGGGACACAACTTGTATACCAAATGCCATGACCTCAGTCTACCTTTCATCATTTCCAATCTGACTTCTGAATTTCTTACATCTATGATCTGTTCATGCTCTTCTCTTTCTCATTATTTTGGTAACTTGATGCCTGTAAGAAGAAGGGAAACAATGATGTCTACCAGCTCTCACACTGACAGTTCTAGAGTGTGAAATATCTGAGCTGTATGTTCCATTTTGCAGGACTTCCAGTACTTGAGTTAGCAGCAATCAATTTTTCATTGAAGACTGTAATGAGGGTTATGAAAAATGGTCAGGAAAGGGACATGCTAGAAAGATTTACTACACATAAAACAATAGTGAAGAAGTAAATGGGTGATCACATAAACAAGATGAAGTAAATGTGCAGAGAACTTCACTGCAATATTATGAAATGTGTATTCGAAGCTTTGGCAATCCAGTAACAACCCTTTGGATACCATGTTACAAGTTTTGGCTTCATGTAGCTACAATGAGGGAAATATTACAGGGCAGTATTAAAACTCTGATTTGGTTATAAGAAAGACTGATATACAAGTTATCAATCACATTTATCTCTGTGACATGATCTTCATAAGTGACAAGCTTGGTATCACAGTTCTGCTCATGCTCTGACTAAAAGCAGCCTCACTGGAAGGCCATACAATAGTAGCAGCCATTACCATAGTACAAGATTTCCATACTACTGAATTTAACATTCATTTTAAACAAATCACTAAATCTACAACAAGGGAAAGCTGTCCTGAAAAAAGGTCTTTGTTAAGACTAGTGAAATATGTATGGTCTCTCATTTTGAATATAATATGAGGCAAGCAACAATTCATGAAATAAATCAAACATATTTGAAAACAAACAAAATGGCACATAAGATACAATTAATCTTCTAGTGAATGAGTTGAATTACATACTTGGAATTTGTGCAGTCTAGTCATGAACTTTGGGACCATGAAACTAGTAGCAACATCAATATCCTAACTACACAGTGGGGCCCTACTGAATCTGTAGGTGCAAACTGACAAGACAAAAGATTGTTACCCTTCTTTTACAGATTGTGTTCAGCCTAGCACTCTGATTATTCTTAACTGCAACTTTAATTACTTTCATATTTCAGTGTTCTTACAGCATATCTTTAAAAATAAAAAATCTTACATAACTTGGCAATATGCAACTAGCCTTATCGTGAATACTAAAAGATTTTCATATCATAATGTTCAAGCATATGCATATCTGTTTAAGGGCAAGAAGGAAATACAAACTCACGGCTTCATGGTCCTAGGAACCTATTTGAACTCCATAACATCAGACCTTTTACATATGTGAAGGTCATTCAAGACCAATACATTTGGGAACTTCTCAGTCTTGAAATATGATTAGAATTATTTAAAAGGGACAGAACCTAAATATTTAGATGTGAAGCCAAATGTTTATTTTAATGTTTGAAGGTATTAATATACAAGTGGTGTATTCTTGCAGCAGTAGAATACAAAGGGACAGGGATGCAGGGGTAAAGTGAATCTATCCCAGTAAAGAGACTTTTAAGATTTAAATAACTATAAAGTGAGAGGGAATAGTTTAAACATGCTAAATTTCAAATTGCTGCAGCTGAGATAGGCAACATTTCTGAAGCATCTTCCCAGTAAATGCTTCAAGGAACACGCAGAAGCATACAAACAAGGAATTTACTAAACCACAACAAAAATATCAGTTATCAGAGAAAAACAACAATTTTAACAACTTTATAATTTATATACATCTAACATAACACAGTTTTCCATTCCTAACATTACTTCAAAATAATTTTCCTGAGACACTGTTTCATGCACTCATTGTACTTTATATTTAAAATGACGTTTCTAATGTAACCACAAGAAATGATACCCTGAATACAGAAAAATATTCCCTAAGCAATTTAAATGGTACAACTTTCAAGGATAGTGTATCTAACTGAACAGCTAACATAAACGGCTCTAATACGGATGTGCTGATATTAACAGTTATAGTGGTATGGTCAGAAAGATCTGCAATGTCTTCTGTGCCACAACAGCCCATTGCATATTCATGGCTACAATAAAATAAAATATTTATGACAGCAATAATCAAAGAATTCATTCCCATTTCTATTTGTCCGAAAAGTAATGTCGTTGATTTTATTGTGAAGTGACTATACGTGGCAGTGCGCTCAGACCGGTTAGGATCGGTGGAGGGGGAAGTCAGCTTATGAACGCGCGGTCTCTTAGTCGTCTTCGAACTTCCTGAGAGTGACAAAAGGCTTTTCCGTTAAACTCGTTTTTGTCTCTCATGCAAGCCGCAATGCAGAGCTCCTTGGAACAAAGGACTGCCATGAAGATTTGTGTGAAACTTGGCAAGTCTGCAGTGGAAACTTTTCCCATGATAAAGACGGCCTTTGGTGATGACTGTTTGTCGGAATGTCAGGTCTATCGGTGGCACACGGCCTTTTTAGAAGGCCGTGAAGAGGTCGACGATGAAGCCCGTGCTGGACGGCCATCAACAAGCACCACCAACAAAAATGTGATGCGTGTGAGAGAACTTTTGAACTCAGACCGTGGTTTGAGCGTTTGTTTAATGGCACAGACATTAAATATTCTAAAAAGTACCGTTCACAAGATTGTGACAAACAATTTGCAGATGCAAAAAGTGTGCGCAAAGCTGGTGCCAAAAGTGTTAACGGATGACCAAAAATCGCGCAGAGTTGAAACGTGCCAAGAACTTTTAGCCTTGTGTGAAAGTGACCCTCACTTTTTAGACAATGTCATCACTGGTGACAAGACTTGGGTGTCTGAGTACGACCCAGAAACAAAAAGGCAAAGTGCCGAGTGGCACACCTCGGCATCCCCTCGCCCCAAGAAGGCCAGAATGAGCAAGTCAAAGGTTAAGGTCATGCTCATTGTGTTCTTTGACGTCAGGGGGCTCGTCCACCATGAGTTTAAACCACATGGTACAACCATCAACACCAAATTCTATGTGGAAGTGCTAAATAGACTCAAACGAAGGGTTTATCACATCCGGCCCGACATCGCAGACGACTGGAAACTTCACCATGACAATGCGCCAGCCCACACCGCCTTCCTCGTGACCTGATTCCTGACCGATTCAAAGGTGCCAACGGTTCCCCAGCCACCCTACAGTCCTGACATGCCTCCCGCAGACTTCTTTTTGTTTCCGTGCTTGAAAACTCCCATGAAAGGACATCATTTTGGGACAGTTGACGAAGTCAAAGAGGCTTGCACCAAGGCTCTAAAGGACATTCCGGAGGAGGCCTACTATGACGCCTTCGATGCCTGGAAATCTCACTGGAAGCGATGTATCGACACAGAAGGAGCCTATTTTGAAGCTTTTTAATGTGTTGTACCGATCTAATCAATAAATGTTTTCTAATCGACTCACTGACATTACTTTTCGGACAAACAGTGTAAGGTTTGAATATTTCAAATTACTTTTAAATAATGACAATTTCTCACTTCAGAAAAACATAACATAAGACACAAAGAACCTCTTTCACTTATAAAAGTAGATCTTGTTTACAAGGTTTTGAATAATTACAATGTATTATGTCAATCTGAAATCACTGTTTGAAGTGAAAGACTGAGTGACATGGCAGCCCCAACATGTGGCACTGACTGTTTCCTATGGTTATATGTGAATGATCATGAGTATATCCACTCTTACCAACCAAGCTTTATGACCTAAAATATGGCATGTCTGAAGCCTCTGCATCAACTGAAAAAGGAACCCTGAAAAATTATGGAACAGTTCACATAGCTTCAAAGATGTCAGAATCACCAACCAAGCTCCTGCTGAATAAAACAGAAAAGGCAAAGAAATAAAAAAAGAGACAAGAAATAAAGAACCGAGTTACATTCCCATTGATGATAATGCAACTCTTGCAGGATTATTAGCATGTATAATATCAAATTTAAAATTGTATCCTTCATCTGTAATAGTCCTATACACACATGCTGTGTAGATAACAGTGATATAAACTATTTCCAGTAATTCTCACCCTGACCTGTCCATTGTAATTTCTTAGAAAACCACTATATCAGACAGATAGTGATTACATAATATGATACATCCTGCAAGGCTGCCTGCTGTCCTGTTATTATCAATGACCCTCTTGATCTTACCTTATTTCAATGCACATTCTAAATTAAACATCTGCGGTGAAGCAGTGAAGAAAACCAGGACTACCAAAACTAATAAATATTCTTTGTAAGATGATGATGACAAATAGAGTTAACAAAGCTTATAGAAACCACAGTTTCCTTTATGAAATAAGAAAGCAAAGCAATACCTTTATTTCTATAGAAGTCATATAAAATATGCATGAGGTTATGGACTATCTACAGCTGGCTTAAATGGAAATAACATGATATTTTTATGCAGTCACTACCTTGGAGGCATTAGGTCATGATATATTACTAGGGGTTGCATACAGGCTGAACACAATCACATGTGCTTACATACCTCCTCATTTAGGTTGCTGACTAAGAGAACACAGCCTGCAGAACCCATGGTTCCTGCCAAGCGAATCCCTGCTGCACTCAGGGCTGTGGTTGCTGCTGCACCTGGCATCTGGAAGCCTGCAAGTGGCATACCTGCTGCTGCAATACAGTATCAAGCACTCACAATTACCTTCTGCTAACACACTAATTCCAGTACTATTCAGGTCAAGCATAACAAAGAAATTTAAAACCTCATGTTCTACTGGCAATTATATATAATTAACTGTTCTTGAGCAAACAGCTGCACTGACACAGAACAAGATGTATAAGTGTCCCATGACCACCTCCACCATTATGGACAGGCATAATCACTGATACATGTTCCAACAATTTCGACACCCAGAATCATTCCACACTGCAAGTGAAGCAACACTGTTAACTACAATACAACCAGTAACTTAAGTCGTTCACTTCATATATACATTAAGCAGTTATTTTATTTTTATTGGTTATTTACTGACATTTCCAGTATCAGGACTATATAAGACTGGACAGTACAATAACTACAAATGATGAATGAGTAAGGATTTGGAACGAAGACATTCTATCATAAACACAGTATCATCCTGCCTTTCGCCTGGGGGAACTGAGGAAAATTAAGCAGTGTTGGACAGGATGATCTGTGGAACAGATGCAGGATGGATGGTCAAAATGGCTCGCAATACATCTTAGCAACTGTGCAGCGAAAATTCAGTATACATATAAATATAACCACCTTTTTTTTTTTAATCCATTAAAGCAAAAATTTGATTGTGGAATTTCAAAAATCAAGAACTTTGTGAAATGATAAATACAGTATGTTTCAGGTGGCAGAAGATGAATGGAGAAGTTCCACGAGACAGCAAAGTGCAGAAATGGAAGTTACACTTTACACCTAACAACATAAACAGAGTGCAACATGTATATATAATTTTGAGTTGTGAATGAGAAACATGGAAAGCTATTGTATATTAGTACCAAAACACATGTTTATTACAATTACAAACACTGAAAAAAAAAAACTATCTGTAGCTAAAGATAAGGCACAAAACACATGTACTGGTCGGAAGTACACTGTTGTGACAGAGAAATAAATGTTTCTGGTTGGGAACCATCAAGAAGTTATCATATGGAGACAAAGGCACAGATAACATAACTGGTAAAATGAACCCTTGAGGTTGAATTAAAAGGCTCATTTTGTTTACACGTGGCACCTGCATATGTGAAACTGTCCACAATAAGAGTATTTCATACTCTGTTGACATAACCAAATCAAATTAAAAAATACATAGTGATATACCTCCCAAAATATATTTACACCTTAAGCAAATGTGGCCTTACAGTGAAATGAGGTGAATGAAATTTAAAAAAAGGTTATTCTTACATAATAAGTGTCATTATTCACATTAAAGGAAAACCTCTTAAAAGTCTCAAAATATAGACACAGTACTTCATTTAGGTCCACAAGTAACAGGCCCTTAAAATGAACAAACCAAAATGAAAATAGGCACAAAAAACTCTGAAGATCTATCAAACTTTGATATGATTTGCTCCCATACCTAGTGCAGAGCTCTTTTTGGCAGTGAAACTCAAACATCAGATTAAACTGATAGGCAATGCTAAAAAAATTCTTCAAATTGCACCTAAACATTCAATCCAGTCAGCTCAGGACAGTGCATGACAAAGCATGTTTGTGCCCATGACAGGTACCATTCAAGTTCTACAAAAAAAGTGTACTTCTTGACCAACTGCTAAAAAAGGCCCTACAGTCTGGCATTGAAAAGTTTGCACAGAGTCTTCACAAATTAAATTCTAACGTTATCTCAACATATCGCCATACATCAAGGCACCATCAATCAGCAAACAAAATATGCCTTCATGTTACCTTTTGAATCACATGTTAACTGCTCCCCCACCCCCCTAAAATGACGGATTCATTCGTGGCACCTTTTCTCTATTCAACTTTTCAAGTATCTTATAACCACGGCAGCATGGCAGTTAGGAGCAAGTTGTCTTCACGTGTCAGCAACCCCTCACTCCATACTGCAGGCTGTGCCATAGCTCAAGCAGTTAGTCGCTGGCTTCCCACCGCGGCGGTCTGGGTTCCATCTGGGGTTCTGGTCAAGTGGGATTTGTGGTGGACAAAGGGGCGCCAGTGCAGATTTTCTTCAAATAATTCGGTTTCCTTTGCCAATCCTCATTCCACCAAATTCTCCACCATCATAATCAACCAGGGCAGGCTACAATAGGCCGATCACTGGCCGCCGTGCCGAGTGGACCCAGTTGGACTCCACCCCCCACTAAGCGAATATTAAAAAAAAAAAAACTCTCACCCCTGACAATGGTTCGATTAAGGGATATGGATCTTGCGTCTACTATAGACAATTTCATTATACACACAAGTGCAATCTCAGAGCAAACTTAACTGTGAAATCTGTAATCTTTTTAGCATTTAATGTATGCTTCACTATAAACAGTTAGAAGATCTCATCTTTCATCATGCTTTTCAGAATCTAACTAATTCTCTGGTAAGAGAACCAGAGGTTCAACATCACTAATATCAAAACCCGTTAATATGTATGATTCTGATAGCATTCCAATCAACCCAATCCTCATAACACACTCTCCTAAGATACAAATTAATGCTGTCCTCCCAGTCTTTTTGGTCTTAAAAGGGGGTTTCTACATTAGAACTTATAATGCGTGTTTGTCTCCTCCAGAGATATATATGTGTCTCACTGATCTCTCTAACTACACTAACCGAAAAAATACTATGCAGTCTCCATAAATTATGAAGTTCGTTCTTATATAATTTTCTAAACAGCCAATTTACTTAATCCCTGTTAAGTCCAAATATTTTTCTAATTACCCTGTTTTTAAACACTTCCAACTATACTTTCCTCTAGGGTAAGTAATTACTGCAAAGAACGGGGTCAACATCACTACTTCACAAATTTGATAAAGGTTATGTATCAGTATGAGGAGTATTCAATATGGAATATCTGAGGGTGTGCTATACTTGCACATATCACTTCAATACATATGTCCAACAGAACAGGAAACATGCCTCAACACCAACCCCACACAATAGTCACCACAGCAACAGAGATCTTTGTCCCATCAATACACAACCTTCTGTTTCAGCAGAGAACATATCAGTGCTTAGTGTCTGCATTCACCAGTGCACTTCATCATCAAAATCACATTCCATTATTGTTGTTGTTGCATGGTTCAGGACATGAAGACAGAGAATTCTCATGTCCCAAATTGCTATCAACAGCATCATCCCCACAGACTATTAAGAATGTCTTGCCCATCCACCAGGCCAGACGGGCGAAAACAATGTGCCCTTACTTTGTCTCAGTAGGAACTGCATATGGTGTGTATTGCCAGAACAAATGACTCTGATTGTCTGGAAATTACATGGAAAAGCAGAGGGTGTCAGTTATTCCTTGCTGTTTTGGATAACTACCACTGAAATAATAAATATGAGTGGAAAACATCCTCATATGATACATAGTGAAAAGTCCACATATGAAACAGAATGGAACTTGTGAGTTGCCTGTTCAGCAGTGATGTCGAGCAACTATCTCATCAGATTAATATCTGCTCACAAAAGAAAAAACACGAAAACAAAATGGACAGTTACACTTTTTTTGTGATGGCACACCAATTCAAAACCCCTCCAGCCCCATAAAATATTTGCCACCAAGTGGCATTCCATTTTATGTCAGTTATACTTGTTTTATTGGGATCACTTCTGACAAGAAGACTGTAAACCAGGTGTTATCAACCACTGGAACCAATAAACAACACAGGGCATATTACATCTGTAGTCTTAAGTGTTTACTACAAATTATGATCTTAGGCAGTTCACTGCACATACATTAGAGGCTTCTGATATATGGCATTATGTTTAGCACATTCCAATCTGAGGCTGACCACTTCTGATTAGTTTCATTCTGGAAAACACTTAGTCATAAATGTTGCATATAGTACAGGTTCGACACATAATTCTTGCAGTTTATGTCAGTGCATGGCTCTTAGAGTTCAACACCAAAAGAGAACAGCTTAGGTAATAAGCATGTACATATGTGCACAATAAGATGCTGAAACATAATGAACATATGACTGAAAATATTTAATTTCTGATAAAATGGTAGGGTGCACAGGTTCAGACTGAGGATTTTTCAACAGGATATGAATGTGTTATGCACGCACGCACACATAAACACATGACAATTATCAACATCATAAAGTAAAACACTTCACCAAACTGGCAAAAATAAAATCAGTGAAGTGTTTAATGTTCTTAGAAGTGAGCTGAATTAATGTTTTCCTTTCAACAATAAGGAACGACCTCTCAATAACATATCATTAGAGAATATAATGTTGGCAAGCATAAGCTTGCTTTCAGTAGAATAACATGCAATAGCACCTGAACAATTACTAATAAAACAAATGTTATAAAGAACACAATGAGAGGCTGAACATTAAAACAATGTCCTTTGTCTTGTTTATCAAGGGCCATGTCAAATATGTCAATTACAGAGATACTGGTTGTTGTTTCTGAGCAAAGAAAGAAGCCACCAACACCAGTAAAGACAGCTTTCAGACGAGGCACACAACAAAATAATATGCATCAGACACAAAAATGCAACCCATATAAGTCAACAGAGACGGATAACAGAAGACATCAGCAGAAGAAAGACTTGCACTTTTCAACATGACAGAAGCCACTCAAATTTCTTCAAATTCCATGTGTTTCTCTTTCCATGACGTTCAAATATTAAAATTTTGACATGTCCTCACTGCATCACTAAGTCATGTGAGAAAACTGTAATAAATGACTAAAAATGAAGGTAAACTATATAAAATCTGAAAAATCGTCGTCCATGCATCGAAGGAGTATCAGAGAATAGGACAGCAGAGCTTGAAGAGAAGAGGAGAGAAGAGAACAGAACAGAAGAGGGTATTAAAATGCATACCTCCCATTCCGCCCACTGCCGAATTTCCGTACGGTGAGGTAAGTGGTGAGCCAAGGCCATGCATCGCAGCAAACGGTGACGCCAGAACTCCAGGGGCACCTGCATGCCCCATACAATACGTCAACAAACTAATCATACACATCTCCAAACTGGATGACAAATATGGAATCTGGTATTGGCATTACCAACTAATATAACATGAAGTCTGAGACACATTATAATGTGTTTCACCAAAACACAAACATAGGAGATTATCCAATGGGTTATTTAAATTTTACCACCAACTAATAAAAGACAAATGTATACAACATAAAAACCCAACACATAACTCATAAGATAAATATCAAACTAAATACAAACTACCCATTAATAAACACTGCTGTGATACCATAAGCTTTCCCAGTATGCCGATTTGCAAATACTGACATCCTTTACTTATAACAAATACCAAATACCAGCATTACATTCCTCACACAATCCACATAAAAATGGTGTCCTGGCACATTATTTTCTTGCAAGGTCACATGACATGTAGAACATAAATATTTTATTTTCAAGATAACTGTGAGGAACAATTATAATTTACAAAATACTGGTATGTAAATTTACTAAAAATATAATATACTGAAGCAGACGTAAAGATAACAAATATAAAATAAATTTAAACATTTTTGTAAAATTTTAACAACCACTAGGGAAACAAGTCATTTCTCAATAGTCCCAACAGTGGATTTCTGAAATATGGTACTCCACCAGTTCAATACTAATTTGAATTTAAAGTTCAGAGACAGGGACAGAGCAACTTAAGAAAGGTGTCTCAATGCCTTGTCCACAGGGAATTTTGGAGATGTTCTAGCTTGTGATTATCATTTTAAAGAAACTTGGTATTTGGGGTAACAGACCCCATGGAGCACTCCTTCTGAGCAACAAATTATCAGTGAAATAGTCGAAATATTCTCTGCCCTTTTTGAACATGACAATATATGATAATATTCACAACAGCCCAAAAACCGCCTGTCCTCAGCAAGATAAATACAGTCCACACTATAACACCCAATTTCTTTAAGGCCAGTTTTAATATCATCGTTCTGTGTAGCTTTCTGAGCATCTCTTCTCTACACAAATTCCAAATAAAATTCTGTATGCAATTTTCATCTATTCCATGCATGTAACACATCCCACCCAAATCATTCTCTTTGATTTAATTATTCTAATATCTGGTGAATGACTACAAATTATGATGCTCCTCATTATGTAATTCACCCCTGTCTTCTGCTACTTCGTGCCCCCTTAGGTCCAAATATTCCTTCAAAATTCTGAAATGTTTGTACACATCTACCATACTATATGGTGTCATAACTCTGAAAACCATAATAGGAATCTTCATGAGCATGAAATCTCAAATCTAATAATTCTGCATGTATTTGAAGTAACAGGAAAAGAAATATCAAGTTATAACAGATTAGTGCTTATACAAATAATGTACACATAGAGGGCACCCCTCCTCCTCTCAGAGATTGCTGCTTGAATACAAGTTAAGGGCAGTCAAGACATCTTATGATAAGAGAAATAGTCCCTCTTAGCTGACAGTAACATCCAGAACTGAATAAACAGACTATGTTTAGAATTATCTAAATAAACCAGATGGTCAAATACTGGAAGTGGAATAACAACTGGAAATAAATACCCTAAATGCAGCAATGTATGAGAAATTACCCAGGCAATCAATAAAATAACAACCATAATAAGAATATTATATTGCAGCATCCTGCTGCACTGTGTAGATCAGACTCTGTGTTCCACTGCTTGCTACCTAGGTGCAATTTCCGTTAATATTCACTAGTCTTCATCCCTTTATTGTACAACACTACATGTTTCAGACTTAACTGGCTGTCATCAGAATTATAATGTCCTGAATGAACCTGCTACTCTGCTGTAGTGTTGTTCAGTTCAGTCTACTGACATAACATAAGAGCAATTTGTTTTCTGTTCAAGTATGTTTATAAATTTCTAGACTGGATTAAATTCTTTCACTTCAAAACCGGTACATAAAATTAAAAAAAAACATTTAATATACAGGTCAATGTCTTCTTTTCTGTCTACAATAGTTACATAACTTGCAAATGAGTTTTATATATTCATATAGTAAGTGTTATAAAATTATTGAGATTTTTTCGCCTAATACTTCTACACTGCAATGCAATCTCTGAAATTTGCTGCTAGTATGAAAATATAAGATAAGTTTCCTCAGCAACAAATTCTTTAAACTTTATGTTCATGAAAACAAATTATACATTTTAAACTAAGGAACAGTTTGCTTTCAAGCTACAGTGAGATCATTCAATCCTAGGGGTTCTGACAATGGTGTCTTGCATTCCAAATTACAAGTTCCTGGACTTTATCCATCATCATTTCCTGGACTTTATCCATCATCATATTCTAAAACATAACATTTTTGAAACCATATGTGTTTCTGTCCTCTGGTGAAATGATGTGGAGGCACCTATTTAGTTGTGTTCATTAGACAAGGTTTCTCAATCACTGGAACCCTCACCTGATAATGAAATCAGATCCTGTATCTGAAAGGTTGCATTCTTTTAGGGTACTAGACAATTGACAAAGCCCAGAAAACCAGTAATCCTAAATGTGATTATCTATGGGCAGAGCTCAAACATAACCTTTCTGGTGTGTGCAAATGCTGTTTCTCTGCTTACCCTGACACATCAGCAACAGTGACAAGAGAAGTGCATTCTCTCCAAGAGTATTCACACTTAACTCACACGAGACATCCTTTGCATAGGACATGGATAACTGCGCACTAAAGCATCAGATGCTTTTGAATAAACCTTATGTGGAATGTGACTCCATTCTGAAGATCAGAGGAAATTTGGAATAAAGTTTTCCGAGCGAAATGTTAACTCCAATAGGAACTGTCTGAGAAATTAGTAAGAAACTTTCGTGTGGTTCAGGTTCCCCACAAAAGCAACATTCAAAATCTTTTCAATAAAATTAGAACTGGCATGGGGACAGGGTACAAAAATATTAAAATTGAGCACTAACAGAAGAATTCAAGTCTCTTTCACAAGAAACAACTGTGTAAAAGGGACTGCAAGAACCAATGCAGTTACTGAAACTATGACCCTGGAAAATCTTTTCAGCAGTGTAATCCAGTAGCAAGCATTATACCTGCAACTCATATCTTCAAGCATTTCATGATGGCAAACTTGATCCATCACTGAATTTATCTTTTCATGAGATGCTTGGTTTTACTTGATTGAATACACGAGTAAACAAAATAACATATTAGAGTGCAGAGAATCTAATTCTTTTTACAGAAAATTAACATCCACAACATAAAATTTGGTGTCTGGTGTGCCCTCAACAAGATGTGTTTTATGCAGAAACAATCCTAGCAGGTATATTACAAAGACACTGCAGACAAAGAAAACACTACAGACACTTCCAACAGTATCCTGCAACTGCATATATTGCCAAATTTCCATGCAAACCTTGAACAGAAAGTCTGGTAAAAGGGCTCATGGAGTAACTCATGCTTCATGGCCACCTTCTTCTCCTAATATAACCCAGTGAGATTTATTCTCATGCAGAGACTTAAAACATTCACGCATAGAAAAATTTGGAGAAAACATACAACTCAGAAGGCCCCATATATCCAGACCAAGCAGGAAATGCATTAATCGATGCTATGTTGTGTGCACAGTAGAAATGCTGTGCTTAGGCTCAGCCCACAAATGATCTCCTGGTATTCCTCAAAATTGCTTTTAATATGGATAATAAGACAAGTGTATGTGTGACATACCAATTTTGCCATGTCTGCTCTGTTATTGGTTTTAGATTTTCAATTGCAACTTCTTATGCTCTTCTGTAGATAGCATCAATTAAGTATCACAATGCGAGATGACAAAATCCTATTTAACAGTACTTGTTATGAGATCCACACATCATAAAAATTTATTTTTTTACTTTTATTTACAACTTTTGCTTCAAATATTTGTTTACTCTCATATTCAGCAAGTTATTTCATGATGTATGTAGAAATATACATAGGTCTTTGCGTAAAACATTAGTTACTTCTGTACAATTTTAACCAAAATTTGAATGGACTGAAAAATATTAGGAATATTCCCCGGTGCCATATTTCATGAAAATCTGTTCACTGTTCTCAAGTTTTTACATGCAGGCAAACAGACATGTTGAATAATATTATATTTCAGCATACTGTTGCATTGATATATCATTTGTTCAATTGTTTTCATCTCTAATGTAACATAAACCTTTATTTTAAAATGTCATTACAATCACATTTAAATATCATTTAAATCGCATTTTATTTTACTGTTGTGACATGTTTCGGCCATATAAGGCCATCCTTAGGCAACTGTCAATCAGCTGAAACTACCACACTGTCTCAGCTAGTATGTCGATTGAATTGAATTGAATTTATTTACATTCTATAAATCCTAAGTAGGTTAGTACCTTTGGATACAGAACAAGTCAAAAGGTTACATACATAAGTACAGGCAATTTTAGCTTAAAAATTAATATAACTTAATTTTACATCATTCTCTATTTACATTGAAGTATTCATCTAAAGAGTAGAAGGAATGAGCATGTAGATAATTCTTTAACTCTGATTTAAACTTTTTAGTATCATTGCCCAAGTTTTTAATACTTTGTGGCAGATTGTTGAACACTTTTATGCCAGTAAAGTAGACTCCTTTTTGATATACTGATAAAGTTGATGAGGGTAGGTGGAAGTTATATTTTTGTCTAGTATTCATGTTATAGACATCAGAATTTAATTTGAATTTATCTTTGTTGTAAACAACAAATAAGAGAAGCGATAATATGTATTGCGATTGAAGAGGTAGAATTTTTAATTTCTTAAATAATTCTCTACATGAATCTCTACTTCTACATCCTGTAATGATTCTAATTATATTCTTTTGTATTTTAAAAATTATTACACTATGTGAAGAGTTCCCCCAAAATATTAATCCATAGTTCATAATAGAATGAAAGTAGGCATGGTAAACCATCTTCAATGTTTCCTGTGACATAAAAGGCTTAATTGATCT